CGGGTACGGCTCTGAGTGAGTCCTCCTACAGGTGGCCGCAGCCTGCGGGCGTCAGAGACGAAGGCGCAGAATTGCCAGGTGCCCTGTGCCGGAGGCGGCGGTAACCTTAGGGCCTCACGCATTCTCCTCCTGCTCCTCCCGGCCGGTGACCTAGGGAAGGGGCTTAGGTTCGAGCGCGTCCCTTCTGCATCCTCCCTCCCCTTGGAACCGCTTTGGAACCAATTCTCTTACTCAGCAGCGGGCCTGGCGGGGTCGGGTGTCCGCACCCAGGTGAAAAGCCGAAATCCGACTGTCCCATTTCTCGGGGAGGACAGAGCCGGGATGGAGCGTGTGGGGAGTGGAGTCCTCAGCGGTCCGGGGTCCTTGGGTGCAGGTCCTGCACCATGTCTGAATCGGGGGCCCCACAGCCTGCTGGACACCAGGACGGCTTCCTTCCCAGAGGGCGATGAGCTACAGGCCAGGTGCCCCGGCGGTGACAGAGACAGTGCGTCTCCCGGAGGCCTCACGGTGTCAGCCACGCCTGTCCGTGCTCTCTGGTGGGGGGCCCTGTCTCCCCCAGCCGAGAAGGTGGGGGGCCCCCTCTGCTCCCTGCTGTTTCTGAGCACTTGGGGGGTGGTAGGGGCGGGGGGAACGGTAAGTATTGGTCGACCGGATGGACGGTGGCTTGTGTCTTCATGTTTGGCTGGTGAGCATCTTGAGAGCGGGGAGAGGCACCGGCCAGATTCACCACTGCCCAGAATGAAGTAGTAGCTGTTTAATACTCCCACAAGGAGGAGCCTAGTCTCCCATCATCCAGCCTCGACCGGGAAAAGCTAGTTTCAGGTGAAGTCGGGGTCGACTCGCCATGAAGCCGAGAAGGTCAAAGAAAGGTCGGGCTCTGGCTTCAGCTCCTCGAAGGTCGTTTTCCACGCTGACCCGTGATTTTGACTCTGTTCAAGCATCGCAGCCCTCCAGGACCCCTTCTTCCCGCCAGTGTGGATGCGCTCACGGCCCAACGTGCGGGCGCCGTGTGGCTCCAGGGGTGCGTGGCGGGCCACCCTGCTGCTTGTGAGCCACCCAAGAACCCAGCTGTGGCTTTGCATTGTCCATGCAGGAAAACGTGGCCTGAGTCTCAAGTGATCGCTTCGTCGGTGACCCGGGAGGAGGGCCATCTTCACGGCGGGTTTTCTGTGGCCGTGGGGCACGGTGCAGAGCATTCTGGGGGCATACGCTGAAATGTCTATTTTCGGCCTTTAAGAATTTCTTAAAAGCAGCAGACATCTCTGCCACGCCTCCTCATTCTTGGAGGTGGCCTGTCGCAAAGCAGTGACCGGAGGAGGGGGCACTTTAGTCGCCAGCCTGGGTACCAAATGCGGCTGGGTTCAGGCAGCACTCTGGGGTGACAGTCTGCGGTTAGGCACTGTGCTCAGCAGAGCAGGGGGCACTGCCTGTGACATATGGTGCATGTGTGTCCACGTGCCACGCCGACGAGCTGCTTCAGGCCGAACACCACCAATGGAAGTAGCGACACTTGTCCGCCATTCTGGGCCACCTCGGCCGCCTCTCACCTCAGCCCACCCCCGGCGTAGTCTCCTCCTGGCCTTGGTCATTCTAGCATCCGCAGGCCCTGGTGTCATCAGCCATTTGATTCTGATGCCTCCAAGTCGTTTCAGACCAATCGGACCCCGTCTCCTCCAACAAAGAACATCTGCGGCCGCCGACCAGGACGTTTCCTCCAAGTCTGTGACACGGAAGGAAAGCCACCCTGTGGAAGCATGGCGAGGGGGTGCCCGGAGCCGTGGCCTTGGTTTCGGGTTTCAGATGCTTTTCTTCGGGGTGAGCGTCTGAAAGTTGGCCACCCGTGAAGTACAGTTGCAAACGGGACAGCGAGTCCTATCATAAAACGTGGCATTTCCTGCTCAGGTCGTCTGTGCACGGCAGGCACCGCCGAGATAATCTCCATGGTAACGGGCGTGTGCACCGCGTGTCCCCAGAGCTCTTTGAGGAAAAAAGCAGAGACGGAGCAGGTGGCAGGGGAATAGGAGAGGCAGGAGCGTTTGCTCGTGCGGAACGGTGCTTTGAGCGGCTGGACCTCCGTGCTCAGAGTGAGCGTGTTGACGTGTCACGAAGAACAGGAGGCTGAGCCACGAGCACCTGGCAGGCCTGGTGCCGCTTCCGCCCGCTGTCCGCCGTCCGCGGCGAGACCGGGGACCCTCGTCGTCGTGGTGACGGTGCCCTTCCTTTGCTTAAAATATTTACGCCTGAGTAAAGTGTAAATTCCTCAGCCGGCCATTCGAGACCCTCCTGCTCCGCTCCACACACCTGCACCGCAGCCTCACCTGCCGCTGCCTGACGCTGACGCTGACGCTGTCACTGAGGGCTCAGCCGGCCCGCCCTTTATCCCCAGGTTAGGGTGTAACGTGCCCTAAGGTGAGAGGTCACTGGAACTCGGCTGTCTTTTCTGATCTCAGCCTCTCTCCCCAGTGGCACAGATTTAGGCCCGGAAAAGCCTGGGGACGCGATTCCCCAGTTTTTGCCCGTTGAAATCTTTACTCTCGGTCGTTTTTCTAGGTAAAAGTGACGAGACGTTGCCCGCTGCGCGTGGTCCCGCCTCACCCTACGTGAGAGATTCGCCAGCGCAGCCGTGGGGGTCTCGGCGGGGTGCAGGCTCCTGCCGGCCCTGGGGAGGGGGCCCTTTCTTCACTCTCACGCTCGGAAGCTTCCAGGCGTGCGCTGAGGGGGAGAGAAGGCAGAACGGACCCCACGGCCCCCGTTCGTCGCCCGCGTCTGCCAGGCAGGCCCCGGGGTGACCTGGCCATAGACTCTCTCGCCTTCCTTTTTTCGCCTCTTTCCTGTCTCGTTAAAAGAGATTTTTTCCCTTTAATTCAGGAGCAGCATGTGCTCGTAGAAAAATCGTCAAACTGCTGGAAATGGAAAACGCCCGTAGTCTGTTCGGAGGCAGCGTCTCGTTGGCCTTCCGGCCGTTCTTGACCTCCGCTTCTGTTCACAGGGCTGTCGGGTTTGCGGGGCGCCCTGTGAGCCGCTTCTGCCCTCCCCCCGCCCCACCCCACGTCAGAGGCGCAGTCGCTGCAGCTGGACACTCAGTCCATCTGCTGGCCAGCTCTCCCCTCCACCCCGCTTCCCGTAGCCTCTGTTCTTCGTGTGCTTTCCAGAGCTCTCTGCCGGAGCCCTGCTGGGTTCCTGCCGCCCCAATTACAGTCGGCCCTCCGTACTCCCCACCCCGGGTCTCGCACTGGTTGATTCGACCAACTGGGGATCAAAAGTACTGTAGAAAAACCCGGTGACTCTGTGACTGCCGTGCACCGTGTAGTTAGGCCCGAGGTGGTCGCATCTGTGCTGAGCACGCACAGACTTCTCGTCACCCGTCCCTAAACAGTACAGCGTCACAGGTGTTTGCATAGAGGCATCACAGTGACCCAGAGGTGATCCCCACTGTATGGGAGGATGTGATGCACACAACTCCCACAGCACTTCGTGGAGGAGGCTTGAGCACCTGCAGACTCGGGGTACCCCTGGGGGGTCCGGGAACCAGCCCCCTCGGGAGGTCAACCACATGTACTTGCCCACAGTCCCAAGTGGAGCTCGCGGAGACTCCAGGCCCGTGGACCTCGGCTAGTGGGCTCCGCCGTGCATACACCTTGACTTGATTTTTACAGGGGTGTCAGCCTTCAGGAAGAGTTTGTCACTGAACCCCCGTCAGTCTTTTATTTGTAGCATTACAGACAGGGTGACAGAGTGAGACTCGTCAGGCTACCGGGAGAAAGCGCTTGGTCAGAGTTGAGTCGGTTTGGCACCTGGTTTGGGTTAACGCCTTGGGAACGAGACGACCTAGGCTCAGGTCCTGGCCCCACTACTTACGAGTTAGGCGACTGCGGGCCGACTAGCTGAGGAGCACTTAACAGTTTGTTGAGCTGAGCAGTAATGCGGTGCGCCGAGGTCCAGCCGTCACGTAGGACCACGTGCCGGCCCGTGCCAGCGAGAAGCCACGCGACCTGTAGACCTCAGTGTCTTTGTGACCAAGGCTCCTGGCTAGATGCAAAGGCACGCCCAGGCTTTATGCCTCCGTCCTTGCTGGACGAAATGACCATTTTTCCCGCGAGAGCAGTAGCCTTTGAGATGGACAGGGACAGGCCCCTGGCTAGATGCAAAGGCACGCCCAGGCTCTATGCCTCCGTCCTCGCTGGACAAAATGACCATTTTTCCCCGCGAGAGCAGTAGCCTTTGAGATGGACAGGGACACCTTCTCCTGGGGCCACACTCCTCCCAGGGGCTCTGCCCTCACGGTCTGCCTCCTGGGGCTGAGGCTGCGATGGTGCGTTTCCTTCAGCCCTGGCTGGGTCCAGCGCAGGTGGGACATGCGTGAATGTTGGTGGAATTTCGCGATATCCTCGACATGTCCCTTGCTGCTCGGGGTCAGAGGGATATAGACCCTGGGGAGTGGGGGGCTTTGACAGAGCCCAGGGTCCTGAGTCACATTTCCCCAGGGGCCGACCGGAGCCTGCTGCCCAGTGACGACAGTGGGTGTGAGCCGGCCCCTGTCCCGACCCCAAACTCGACCGTTGCTCTGCGCCTCCGGCCCCCGGGCTGTTGGCTCCGCGCCCCAGGTTCCGTCCGCAGTGCCACGACCCCCTCGTGGGTCTGTGCATTTCGCCACTGGCGTCTCCCAGCCCCTCCTGCCTCTGATGTTTCTTGTTCGTTTAAGCCGTTGCACCTGGGCCTCCTCACATCTGGGGGAAGTGGAGATCCGGCTGTGAGGACACTTCCTGCAGCTCAGGCTTTGTCCTTGCCCCCAGCCCACCCCCGCTCCCACAACGGCCAGTGTCCTAGGATGCTCTTCCTTTGGGCGCCTCCGACCGCCTGGTTGCAGATCACTCCGTCGGGGTCATTCCGCTTCCTTCCTTGTTGAAGTCACGGGTGCTCTTGAGCCCTCCAGGTGCCTGGGGACAGCTGCCTACACGCCCACCCTGTGGCTGGCCAGCTGCTCGTGCTGGTGGGAGCTGCCCACCCACTCGATCCTGTGAGGCTAGTGCCTGAGCGAGACCTGCTTTCGTTGGCCTGGAGCGGCGTCGAGCACACTGCACATTGGTCGGAATGACAGATCTTAACCCTGGGTGGCGCCCAGCAGCGGCCTGGGCCATCCCGACGACTGCCGCTCACTCACACGAAAAGCCAGAGCTTGGCCTGGTCGAGCGTCAGCGTTAATGTTTTGTTCACGGGGGCGGGGGGCGGCATTTATGGACGTAGTGTACATAACAGCCTGCGTCAGACCCTTCCACCCCCACCCCCCCTCGCTCCAGCCGCCGAGCTGGATATTTTCAGTGATGGAACTGTCATTAGACCTGACAGTGGAGACAGGGGTGCCACTTACACCCACGCGCCTCACCAGAAATCCTCAAAACAGCGTGGAAAAGCCTTCGTCTCTAAAATCCTGATGCCGGTCGTCTGTACTCCTGGTACGTACTGGTAACTGGAAAAACACGTGGACTTTGAAATTCCCGCCTACTCAGAAGCTACCCTCCCACCACAGCGTGTCGAATCGTTATTTTACAGAGTTTTCTGCGCACCCCCCGAGTGGCTGCCTCTGCCAAGGGGTGTGCTTTGTTGGAATGTTGCGTCTTCTCTGTTAACTCGTCATCCGAGCAGCTGGCATTGGTGACGTGGTTGTGATTTGCAACCTGACTGGAGGAAATCCAGGAAGAGGCGAGTGGGGGGGGGCAGTGCCGGGTGAGGGGTTCCCCCAGAAGCTGCTCCTGGCCCGAGAGCCCCCAGGTGCGGTGCTGCAGGCCAACGGGGGTGCCATAGGCCCCTTGTTGTCCCGTCGTCCGCGGCCCTTGTCCTGCGTCTGCTTTTCCGGCCCCACGAGGACACCGTCTGTGCTCACTCCCTCCCGCTTCCTCCCCATCGTGTGACACCGTGAGGTCACCTCCTTCCCGCTGCGAGGCCGGAGCCCGGGCTGGGTAGGCAGAGCTCCGTGGCCTCATGTGACACTTGGCCTGCACCCAGGCGGCGGGCGGGCGCGGCTCTGGTGGACCCGCACTCTCCACCTAGGCTGTTTCATTTCCCGGGGCCTCTGTGCTGCCAGTTAGGTCAAAGGTCGGCCGATGATCAAGGCGAACGGTCAGGGCGGTTTTCTGTGCCTTGGCAGCCAGAACTCACGGTGATAGCTTCTCTGTCTGCATGTAATAAAACACAGTTTTTAAATAAACTCTGTTTGGGGACGGTTTTAGGTTTACAGAAACGCGTGAGCACAGGGCCAGGGGTTCCCACAGACCCCACGCCCGGTGTGCCCTGTGTCCGCCCTGCGTGGGTGACGGCCGGTGACCCGGTGTCGATGCGGGTTGGGCCAGGCTGCGTTCGATTTCCTCGGTTTTCCCCTCACGGCGTTTTCCTGTCCCAGTCCCACCCGGGATCCCACGTGACATTTCGCCGCCTCGGGCTTCTCGCCCGTGACCGTTTCCTGGACCGTCCCGGTTTCCGACGACTGGCCGTTGGAGGAGCGTTGGTCAGGGGTTCTGCAGACTGCCCCTCCTCTGTGATCCGGCTGCTGTTTTTCTCATGATGAGCCTGGCGGCGCTGTGGGTTTGGGGCGGGGGATCACAGAGGTGAAGTGTCCTCGTCACATCGTGCAGTGGCCACACCTGTCACCGTTGAGACTGACCGTGAGGTTCTCCAATGCGAAGTGACTCTTTCCTCCCTTCCCACTCTGTCCTCTCTGGGAGGCCGTCCCTGTGGGCGGCCTTTGGCCCCAAGAAGGTGGGTGCTGCCCCTCCTGGCCAGGCGCCCCGTGTGAGGCATGGGCGATGTAGCCGCGCTTCCTCGTGCCCAGCAGCGTGTCACGTACACAGTGGGCCAGCGCGTTGGTCCAGAAAAAAGGACTCCGTGGACTAGTAACAGTTACAGAAAGCCCGAACTTGTGATAATTCAACATTTTTCTGCTCTGGGCCTAAGTCTGGGTTAATCTAAAAGCAGAAACAGCTCAGTCCTTGCCCCAGAGGATCCCAGGAAGGCCTGTGAAGCCGTCGTTGCTGCCCGCGGCCTCCGAGTCTGACCGCTGGTCTGCCCCGGCGGGCCGCGTGGTCCCCGCGGGTAGGAACTGTCACTGACGTGCGTTGCCCGTGCTGTGCCGTCTTCGCTCGTCCTGGGTGTCAGTCAGGAGCAGAAAGTGTGGACGCCCACAGGCCTCAGCACAGCAGCCGGGGTGCCGGCCCTCACGACTCCTGTGCGCGCCGGTCAAGCCCCAGACTGGGGCGGCCCGAGGCGGACATCAGAATGCGGGAATCTGAGACTCAGACGTGCTGGCAGCAAGTGACCGTGAAGGGCCCCGTCGCCGTTGGTGTCGTGGGTGAGGGGGTCCCAGGCTGAGGCGCGTCCACGTGAATCACCCCGTTCTTTTTCCTCTTCTCCGGCAGGTGCGACCGCAGAATGGGGTGCAAGGTGCTGCTCGGCCTCGGCCAGCAGATGCTGAGGCGCAAGGTCGTGGACTGCAGCCGGGAGGACAGCCGGCTGTCCCGCTGCCTGAACACCTTGGACCTGGTGGCGCTGGGCGTGGGCAGCACGCTGGGGGCCGGCGTGTACGTCCTGGCCGGGGCCGTGGCCCGTGACAATGCGGGTCCTGCCATCGTCATATCCTTCCTGATCGCCGCACTGGCCTCGGTGCTGGCCGGCCTCTGCTACGGCGAGTTCGGCGCGCGCGTGCCCAAGACCGGCTCGGCCTACCTCTACAGCTACGTCACCGTCGGCGAGCTCTGGGCCTTCGTCACGGGCTGGAACCTAATCCTCTCCTACATCATCGGTGCGCCCCCCTCTTCTGCTGTTCCCGCCGCCCAGCCCCAGGCGGGCGCCCCGCCTTGCTCCCCAGATAGACACAGTCTCTCTGCCCGCCTGGCGCTCCCTCCTCCCCCCACTGTCCCTCCTCCCTGTTCCTCTCAGGAAAGGCAGGGGCCGCCTGGGGGCACCGCTGCCCTGTCTGTGCCCTTGACCTCAGTGGGGACAAGCCAGGCCCCCGGGGGTCATTTCTGTTGACACGAGAGACTGTAGGGTCAGTGGAATGTTTCTAATCAGTTAAAAGGGATTTTGTCTCGTTTAGTTAATACTTATTTTTGATCACGGGAGTGAATTCATCACACACACGAAAAAATGAGGGCAATAAAGAAATAGGTAGACTGAAAAAAGCCGTGCGCGCGCCCCTCAGGTCCTAAGGGTGACATCGTTTTGACAACTTCGTTACTCAGTCGTGTGCGTGCGTGTGCGTCCTGGATTCTAGGGGCAATGCACGTTTCTCCGGCCCCGAGAGCCTTGTCACTTCCCACACTGATCGACCCCCCCCGAGCTGCGGGGTCCGCGACCCCCCACGCCACCCCCCAGATGCCGCGCGTCCAGCTTGGCGACGCACACTCTGCTCATCGTGTCCTCTTTCCTCGGGTGTCTGTTTCGTGACAGGCACTTCAAGTGTGGCGAGGGCCTGGAGTGCCACCTTCGACGAGCTGATCGGCAAACCCATCGGGGAGTTCTCACGGACGCACATGACGCTGAACGCCCCGGGAGTGCTGGCTGAAACCCCGGACATCTTCGCCGTGATCATCATCCTCATCTTGACGGGTGAGGCCGCGCCGCAGTCGAGATGTGGGACGGGCTCCCGGCCGGCTGGTCCTTCCTTTTCTCTCCGCCCCTCCCCCCGCTTTCTCATCGATTCTTCTGGTTACTGGGGACACATTTTTTGCCTTAGTGGCTTCCGGCAGAAAGTCGGCCAAGTCGGCCTAGTTATAGCTGCCGAGTTGTGTGTCATTCAGTTCACAGAGAACCTCAGGTCTTCACGTGACTGTGGAGTAAAGATTTGTTAGGACCGCAGGCTTTTTGTGTGAATGACCCAGCAAAACAAACCCCTTGCATCCGAGGATGACCATTTGGAAGGGACAGTTGGCGGTCATCAGCCAGGGACACGGGGAGGGATGCGGTCTGGCTGCAGCACTAACACGTGTCTTGGGTGCCAGAGAAGCCTGGGATGCTTTGACACCTGCCGGCCGCCAAAACGCCCTTGAGTCGATACGTTCCACGACAAAGTTGCGGCTACAGAAGTTTGAAATTTCAGATATTGCTTGCACACAGTCGGTGGCACCTTCCTCTCGTGGTACTCATCCGGTGTCTCAGCCACGAGGGCGGGAGTTTTGTTCACAAACGTGAAGCCGAAACGGAGATAAATGCTTCTTCGATGTTAGAAAACTTGCCTGGGTTTTAAAAACAACACGCCTTGTTTACCCACCACGTGACCGAAGTCATTTCGCACGGGCCGGTCTCGGCGGTATTTCCGGTCCAGTCGGCCGGACCGCGAACGGAGTCTGCACGGCTGAGACCTTCCTGAGCATGAGGGGTGGGGGGTGTGGGGCACGGCACAGCGGGGCGCACTCGCTCCCCTCTCTGCCGTCTGCGATTCAGGGTTTGGTCTGTCATGTGGAGAAATGTGATCTCAGGGCAGGGCAGTGACCTCAAGCCGCAAACGGTGGCCACGTGTTCCCCGGGCACCCTTTCGTGCCCAGTTGGGAGTTTGCCACAGAAGTCCCCGGATGCCATACTCTCCCCAAGGTGGCCCCTTGGTGATTTTTTTTTTAAATGTGCGCTTGCCATCTAGGACTAGTCTAGCTCAGAGCTTCTGAGTCCAAGGTGACACCCGTGCGTGGTGATGGTCCCACAACCACAGACAGTTTTCACGGCCGCTGGTGCTAACATCCCTGAGTCAGACTCACTTCTTCATCTGAAAAACTCATTTGACCAAGAAACTGAGCAAAATGTCTCCTGCTCGGAAAATGTAGATTTGTGGGTTTTGGTGATGATTTCGGGGTGGGGGAGGAGAGGGGTACTCACTTCATCCCCCCCCGGGGGGCGGGGACTTGCCCTGCACTGGGCTGTGGGCTGAGGTGTCCCCACCTCTGCAGACCCCCGGTGCCCCTGGGTGGCGTCCTCGGTGGCATTAAACACCCCAGGACCACGGTTGCTCCGACCCCCGCCTCTAGGACGGTGGTGAACTCGGCCCCAGCCCAGAGGCTCGTGGGAGTCTGGCGGTTCGGCGCCACCTGGGTTCTTCCCCGGCCCCTGGAGGACCCGCGTGGTGCGGGGTTGACACTCACAGTGTCCTGCTTTTGCGTGTTTTCAGGACTTCTCACCCTGGGCGTGAAAGAGTCCGCCATGGTCAACAAAATATTCACTTGCGTCAACGTTTTGGTCCTGGGCTTCGTCGTGGTGTCGGGATTCGTGAAAGGCTCGGCCAAAAACTGGCAGCTGACGGAGCAGGATTTCCAGAACGCGTCCGATCACCTCTGCTCCAACAAGTGAGTCTGCGCTGTCCTCGGCACCTGGCGGTCGGTGCGTTTGGGGGAGGCGACTGGCTGGACCCTTAGGAGTCCTTTTAAAAACGTGATTTGGATTTGAGTGTTTGGTTAACTTTTTTTTTTTTGCAGGGAAGTGGCTGGTTTGAAATGTGTGTTAAGTTCTGTTTCCTTTCACCAGACAGAACCTTGTATAGCAAAGGAAGCTGTTGAGGAAAACTGAACCTTCGTTCTGATTCCAAAACTGTGTGCAGTTGAGGGTCGTTGTCAGACTCGCTCTAATCCCTCTGTTCTCCGATTCCGTTGCGCGGCCAGCCTCGGGGTTTTGTGTTCGGAAGGGACTTCCTCCGCCATCCCACAGTGACGGCACTTTCTTTGAAATGCCTTCCTATTTAATAACTTAGAAGGAAAAAGAAACATGTGAAACTTCCATCAAAGGTTTTCGGGGTTACTGAAGTGCTGAGGTGTGGTTTTCACAATCTCATATGCCCACACTGGAATTGGGCTGCGTCGGCCCTGGAAAGCAGTGGCCCTTGTCCCTCCGACGTGCCTGGCTCAGGACACCCAGGGTTAGAGGCAGGTGATGGGCTGGCTCTCGACCCTGGGCCTTTTCAGGCCTCTCTGTGAACCCTGACCAGCAAACTCATGTTATCTAGGACACAAAAGCCAAGCAATTATAATATGTCTTTTTGATCTTTTTTGTCAGATTTTCAGGTGAATCTTAGGGCCCTACGATGGAGAAAGGGGAACTCGACTTTGCCTACGATTCTGTTTCAATTACAGCTGAAAGTTAAACTGCTCAGTACAGAGACTTCTAAATTTCAGTGGCTTCAAAATGAGGTCTCGGCTCCCGAAATGAGCAGTCTGGGCGGCCGGCCAGCAGTGGCCGTACGCAGGCTTCAGGGACCCAGATTGTCCATGTGGTGTTCTGTCACCCCCGAGGGTCGTCCTCGTCTGCCTGGTCGGAGCTGGGCTGTGGGCAGACGGATCCACCTGTCCCAGAGAGTGGAGCAGGGCGCGCCCAGTGCTCCTAAGGGACAGATCAGAAAGACCCATGTCCCTTCTGCCCTGTCCCCTCGGCCAGAATCCAGCAGGTGTCTAGCTGCAAGGGAGGCTGGGCAGTGAGAGCCCACACTGCGGGTCAGCTGGCCACACACCGACTTGGTCGCCGGTCATGGGCCAGGTGCCCAGTGGTCTGGTCAGTGGGCAGGCATTGATGCGTGATGAGTTCATGACGAGAACGCAAACCGGAAGCTATTGAATAAAATGCACGAAGCTTCATTATTATTATGTGGTTAACAGTTCAGATAAAAAGCCTACTGTGTGAGGACTGCGTTACAGAGAAACGAGGACATTTAATGTATCCTTCCTGAGCATTCCCAAGTCGTGTTTATGCCAAAGGGACGGGTGCCCATTCGTTCAGGGTGGAGAAAAGCCAGCTCGGATTATGCTTCGAAGGAAGAGCCGGCCCTGAGCTCTGGGGGCCTGTCTTATAGGTCAGGAATCACAGGTCGTCAGCCGTGAGGTGGTTTTATCATTTTGTGAAGAGATTCTTTATCGCGGCCGATGGTCTCTACTCTCGTCGGCCACCGTCACACTGTTGTCCTAGCGGTGACGATCCGTACTGTCCTCCTGGGCAAAATGGCATTTGCTGCCTGGCCCCTCGGTCCCGGCGGGGGTCAGGCCTCCTTCAGTTACACCTGCTCCCAGCCCTGGGGACACGCTGCTAAGGGCGGAGGGTCAGCCACTTGGAGGGGGGGTAATGGTGGGGACGGGGCACAGCCTGCGCTTTAATTTCACTGAGACCTGTGAGGGTCTCCCTTTTTTAAGTCAGCCGCAGACTGGTGTGTTTTGACGGAGCCACACAATCTCACCTGACACAGAAGCGTCTCCCCTCCCCTGCTCCAGCGCCCGCTGCAGTGAGCATGGCGACCGCTGGGTGGCCCCGTCCCTCGTGTTGGATGCTTGTGTAAACATGTCCAGGGATGCGGGTGCTTGTAGGTTTGTTTCCAAACCCTGGGTCACTGCGTTTGGTAGTAGACCCTTCACGTAGTGCGTCACGACGCCCTTGCAGATCGCTCCGTGCCCACGTGACTAGCCCTTAGTCGTCTCCCCGTTTCAGAAATGCAGGCTGCAGCTTTTTAAATTTTTTTTACTACTTCAAACAATTTCGCAGTAAACCTTCTTGCACGTTCAAAAAAGAAGCTTATGTCGGGGTGTGAGGTTGCGGCTACGAGGTTGGTGTCCGGGGACGACCCCACCTGCCACCTCGGTGGCTCCCTGATCGTTCCGCAGCCCAGGCTTTAGGGGTGTTTCTCGGTGTGGGACGCCTTTCCCCCACTTCCCTTACCGATGATTCTCAGCGCCGACTTCTGAGCAGCTGGGGGGTGGCCTGCGGAGGGCCGGTCACCCAGACTGCAGGGGATGGGGCCCTGGCCCAAGGTCTGGGTTTAGGCTGCTGTGTTGAGGTGACGTCTGCCACATGGTGGCTGCGGTGGTCCCTCTGGGCCTGCACCCCGTTCTTCATGCGTGTGTTGCCACATGATAAGTGGGACCACCACATGCAGATAACAGAATATCGATTATATTTAGAAAGGCTTTAAAAAATAGTTCTAAAGGGTTCGGTTTGAGGCTCCACAGAACAGGCTCTGAGTTTCTTTCAGTCCTCTGCCCCTGGGACCGCGAACAGCCAGTCTTTCTGAAAAGTTAAATTGTTTTAGACGGCGGTATATTCACGTGCGTGCGTATGTTACAACGTTATAAAGTGTCACACGGGGAAACTTCGTTTCCGTTCCAGGCTTTATCTGTCTCATTCTGCCGCCCACCCCCATGTCTGTGCGTATCACACGTTTACGTTTATGATGCGTGTTCCGTACGTTATATACGTTTTTGCCCTTTGCACCTACAAAGCTCAGCGTCCGTGGCCTCTCTGCACCTGTGTCTCTCCCTGGCTGGCGTATTTGGTCCTCCGCGTCGGGGCCCCGCGTGTCTTTGTAGTTGGTGTTGTCCCAGCGCCGAGTCCTGCTTGTGCCACGCGTGCTGGTGGCCAGTGGGGACCGGCTGGAGGTGCAGGTGGCGTCCCGAGGTTCACGCGCGGGCGTGCCCTGACCGGCCGTTCGCGTCCCTTCTGCTCCGAGGGTCTCCGATGGCCGCCCTCGCCCCCCCGTCCTGAGGAAGACGCCTGTGCTTTGCGTCCGCGTCTCTCTGCTGGTCACCCACAGCTCCTGTTCTCTGTCTCCAGGCCTCAGCTGTCTGTGTGACCGAGGCCCTGGTCCTCACCTTGAGTCCCACCCCGCACTTGGCTCTTCCCTTGAAGTGGAACTCGCAGGACCTTCTGGATGCCTCCGCCTCCCGGTTGCTCAGAGCAGGCCCACCGATCCTGACGTTCACATCGACTTGTTTGTGGCCGTTCCGTGGCCCTCAGCGTTGGGCGGGTGGGCGTCTGGCGGCCTTTCTGTCTCAGCGATAGGCGACCTGGGCCCACCCGAGGGACGTGGCACAGGCCTTCTCGTGCCCTTCAGTTCTGTGCAGGAGTCGGGGGTCTGCGGGAGGCGGCCCCCACCCCGGATTCTGCTCTACTCTGCTACCCCGCCCTGCCTCCCCACCTGCTGAGCTCCTGGGCTGTCGGCCGTGTTGTTTTAAGCTCCGACCCTTTTCTAAGGGAGGTCAGCTTGCCGGGTGTTACACATTCCTGTGGTCACGGACCCCGTGGTGCCCGGGGAGGCGGTTTAGGCAGCGCCTGCTGACTCCCCAGTCTGACTTAAAGACAAGGAACTTCTGTTTGAGTCTGGCGACAGTTTTTCTCACATCTGTCACGCATGCATTTCTTGGGGTGCTCTTCACGTGGCTTCCAAAGCATAGTGCATTCCTCACTGCCAGCGGCTCTGTGGAAGCTTCTGGAACTGAGAAATACGATGATCACCAAGGAATCAATGAAGGCTTAATTCCCATTAGAAAATAGTCGAGTCCAAATTGTCTGTCTGTGTTCTTGGCCAGTCGGTAAATCCCACTGAAAGCAGATTTTCTGAAGCAAGTCACTAGCCCAGCCTCAGCGCCTCACTGTTTGTAGGGCTGGCACATTCTGTCTCCTGCCTCATCTCGCATCAGGAGGTGACATGGTCTGGGGCAGCGGTCGGCCAGTCGAGGGGAGATGAGACTGTCCTAACCGTCCTCTGGGGCTCTGTGTTAAGTGGCAGAAAAGCCTGCAGCCCTGCGGCCAGCAGGGGAGGGGCTGAGACTGCTCTCTTGGGCCTGATAGCTGCAGGGGGCCGGGTTGTATGAGGCTTTGGGGCACTTTGTGACAGGCAGGGCCCGGGGTAGCCTGGCACCAGAGATGGCCACCCAGATGGGGCCTTGGTGGGGCTGGTCATGGTGTTTAGAGCCACAGGTTTCGACCAGTTGAGACTATTTTCGGGGGCTTCGGGGTTCACCAGATGTGCCTGACTTTGTGTCCACTGCTTCAGCAAACAGCGTGGTGCCTGCCAGGAGCCTGGCTGTGCCGGGTGACAGCCCAGGAGCCGGCCCACGCCGGGAGCATCCGGCCGCCGCCCGCACACGTGGGGCTTAGGGCGCTTCGCTGACGGACAGTTCCCCTTTCAGCATTTCCAGAAACGCTCGTTGCAGGCAAGAGTTACCAGGAAACATGAGCGAGCTGCATCTCGTTCCTAGGGAAGGTGCCGTGGCAGTCGGTCCCTCCCTCTCCTGCCGGACACCCTGTCCCCTCAGTCCCCGCAGCCCACTTCCCCACGTCGGAACTCGGAAGAGGTTCTGGAAAGGGTGCAGGAGGCCTGCATTCCAGAGCCCGAGTGCTGGGCCTGGTGACAGCTGCCAGGGGCCGCGTGCTGAGGGTCTGGAGTCCCCAGGCCCAGCAGCAGCCACGAGCCAGGAGCTGCATGCTGCGGGGCTCGTCCTCGGGACCAGGAGCCGGCGTCGTGACCGCCGCTTTGGCTCTCTGTTCTAGTGGCACGGAAGGGAAGCATGGCGTCGGCGGCTTCCTGCCCTTCGGGTTCTCCGGGGTCCTGTCCGGGGCAGCGACCTGCTTCTACGCGTTCGTGGGTTTCGACTGCATCGCCACCACAGGTAGGCCCGCCGCTGTCCGGCCCCGGCCCCGGCTCTGCCCGACGGGCTGGGTTGACGGCCCACCGGCCACTGCCTGTCTTTCTGCGGGCACATGCCGGCCACCCAGCTTCCACACGAGTGACGCAGATCTGTGGCTTCCCGCCAGCCCCACTGCCCCCCAGTGCCCGTGCCTGTCAGGAGACTGCACTGTGAATGTCACTAACCGTCGTGACGCTGGGCGGATCCTGACTGCCGCGCTGCAGCCTGTGCATTTGGGAGATGGGAGGCCATTGAAAACACTGTCGCCCTGGTGGGCGGGACGGTCCCGGCTGCTCTGGGTCTTCGGACCTCCCTGCCGGAGGGAGCAAGCCTCTCCCTCAGCCGGGCTGTGACATCAGGGCCTTCAGGCCTGCGTCACCGAGGGCCACCTGTGCTTCCAGGCCGGGAGGGCCGAGCACGATGGGAGTTGCCCGGGGGTGGCACGGGCTCGCTGGGCATGGGAAAGCCCCAGGCACCCTGCGGGTTTGTGGGGGGCCCTCGCTGCCTCGCCTTTCTGGGCTGAGTCCTGCCGCTCACAGGTGAGGAAGTCAAGAACCCCCAGAAGGCCATCCCCGTGGGCATCGTGGCCTCCCTCCTCATTTGCTTCGTCGCCTACTTCGGGGTGTCGGCCGCCCTGACTCTCATGATGCCGTACTTCTGCCTGGACAAGGACAGCCCCCTGCCGGACGCCTTCAAGCACGTGGGCTGGGGGAGCGCCAAGTACGCGGTGGCCGTCGGCTCCCTCTGCGCCCTTTCTGCCAGGTGAGCGTCCTGGGACTGTGGGGGGCGGGCGGTGCGGGGGCCCAGGTGAAGCCACGTGCAGGTTTGCTGTTGAAATGTCCCCTTCCCGGGAGCTGGAGCCGGCACCCCAGCCCGACTCCGTGCTGTCCCCCCTGTTGCCATTAGTCCCTGGAGAGCTGGTGGCGTCCCTGGCCCTTCGTCCTGACGAGCCCGAGGCCCCCGCTTTGACAGCACCTGCTCAGCAGGGCACTGGCTCGGTCCCCGACTCCGACCCCTGGGCCAGGCCACCTGTCCGAACTCTGCATTTTGGCTGTGTGACCTTGAAAAAGGGAGTGAGTGCCTTTCAGGGAGGCGCTTTGTCCCTAGCGCGTCCCACCAGCCGGGGTAAACGGCAAGTTCTCGTCAGGACTGGTTTGCCACGGAAACGTCGCCGCGAACGCCACGATGCTTTTATTTTCTGGTCGAGTCAGCGGGAGGTCATGGCGGGAATAAACAGGAAACGTCCCGTCCGGGGGAACGGTCACCGCAGCGCCCACTACAGCTCGCCGTTAGTCCCACGCGGCCCACGTTGCGTCCCACGCTTCTGCAGTCTGGGGTCGCTGGCTGCGACTGAGTCCTTAGCCACCGGCGTCACGTAGTGGGCGGGGCAGGGCGGTCCTCGGTGGGAATCCAGGGCGCTGCCCCTCGGAGGCAAGCGCCTCGTCACGTCGCCGTCCCTGGCCGGCCCGTCTCGCGAGTGACGTGCCTTTGCCGCTCCCTCCCGTCCAGCCTGTTGGGTTCCATGTTCCCCATGCCCCGCGTCATCTACGCCATGGCCGAAGACGGGCTGCTCTTTAAAGTCCTGGCCAGAATCAACGACAGGACCAAAACACCAGTGATCGCCACACTCACCTCGGGCATCATCGCTGGTAAGAGGAAGTGACGCCCCGCGCGAGTCACCGCCCTTCCCCTGGGACGTCTCCCGGATTGTGCTGCGGGCAGAGGCCAGGGTTCCGGAGGATGTGTTGGCGCGCTCAGGAGGTTTGCGTTCTGTTATCGCTGTCCTCTCGTTGGCCAGCCACACACGGTCCCCCGTTTCCTGCACACCCCTGAGCAGCCCTTGCTGAGATGACACCTTGTGTGTACGAGCCACGTGAGGCTTTGCGTTAGTGTGGAGAGTCAGTGTCCTTGTATCTTAGCTCATGAATTCTCTGGAAAACGGGTCCCCTGGGCTTAGCGTTGTGTAAAAGGTGCCACCTCTTCCCCACGTACCGAGGGTGAAGCCACGGGCCCTACTTTTGATGGGTGGACGCAGTGAGCCTAGGTGCCATTCCAGGGACCCCTGAGAAAGGACGGGCCCTGCAGCTCCTGTGCACACGGTCCGCACGCTGCCGGCTGTGCCCGTCACCTCCTTTAACGGCCGCATCTCGTGGCCCGAGAGGCAGCGCGGTCCCAGCCGTGCAGACGTGGATCGCTGGTGAAGCCACGCGCCCTACTTTTGATGGGTGGACGCAGTGAGCCTAGGTGCCATTCCAGGGACCCCTGAGAAAGGACGGGCCCTGCAGCTCCTGTGCACACGGTCCGCACGCTGCCGGCTGTGCCCGTCACCTCCTTTAACGGCCGCATCTCGTGGCCCGAGAGGCAGCGCGGTCCCAGCCGTGCAGACGTGGAGCCGAGGCAGGGAGAAGCAAGACGGGGTGCACAGCGAGCAGGAGGTGCCGGCTCCGAGCCTGGCCTGTGTCCACGCCAAGAGGCCAGCTCTTCCCGGGGTGTGCGTAGAGTTGTGGGCTCTGTGGTAAATCAGGACACGTGACAGCAGTCACAGTTTGTATCACAGGGACGTCTCAACTGGCCGTGGGTACGACATTCGACCATCTTAAACGAGGGAGTTGTTAGTAGTGGTACTTGTGCCCTTAGCAGAGTGTGCTTCGTTCTGTGGATTCGTGTTCTGTGTTGGAAGGGAGCTAGTGTGTGATTATTTACCAGTTTTTTTGTGTGTCTTTCTGCATCCTTGAGCGTGAACGAGGAGGTCGGGTTAAGGGACACACCGTATGTCAGACTACGGCCAATGTATTTAAGGGACTAAGGGACTGGAAGTGGCGAAGACTTTTTCAGTACGTGTAGGTCGTTTGATTGAAGGAGATGAAACCGTTATTGTTACAGTGACGATAGCACGTTAAGTCACCAAGCCAAGGATTTACCTTTTTTTTTTTTTTTGATTTGGCGGGGAGCGTGAATAGCGTTAGGTTTTCTAAACTGGCCGCACACGAATGAAGTGCACCCTGAGCTTCTCTGAGTAGGGACCAGCAGGCTGACGCTGCGGCAGGCGCAGCTGGCCACGTCTCGTCATCCCGAAGGCCCACTGTGCTTCGGTCCTGTTCCCTGTCCTGTTTGCACGTGTGTCAGCCGCAGCGACCTTTAGGGGCTTGAGAAGCGTTTGTGGAAAAGTGAGCGTTTGTGTTGATGCTTCAGTTTGCCTCTGTTCCGTGCGATTTGAAAACACCCCTGAGTAGC